CTTTAATAATGGGAGTATTGATCACTGTCCTCTGGATGAAGGTGAAGATGTTTGGACCAGAATCTGTTTAAACCAGTGTCTAAGTGAATCTGGTTTCAGCTCCTCCTAATTCAGATCTGATGATAAATACTTGTTTCTGTTCTGTGAACTTTTTTTTTAAACGGCTCAGAAAGAAAATCTTCCGTCAGGCCAAAAGCTCAAACATTCTCAGCAGGACTACATTTTTGAGTATGGCTAACAGGCTAGCAGCTAGCTAGACCTCATCTCGGGTTCTGGAGAAATCCTCACGCCACCTTTTAAATGCTGTTTTCTTTGGTTGTTCTTTGGATGAGAAAGAAACAAGACCTCTGTGGTCAAAGTTTAAAATAAAACAATGCCACAGTTTATTTTCAGAGTTCACAGAAATCTGACGTTTGTGCTCCAGTTTCCTCAGACTTCCATGTGCTTGACGAGGCTGAGCTAGCCTGCTAACAGTGTAGTAGCCTACAAAGCTAAAAACTGAATGGGGCAAGAGATAAACAGGCTGGTGGCGAGCAGATAGCAGGTGAACAGGCCAGCAAGCTGCAAAGCCCATAGGCTAACGGGCTAGCTAGCTAGCTGGCTGACTATCTAGTGGGCAACAGGCTAACAATGTAGCAGGCTAACAGGCTAGCCGTCTGTAGCTGCCGCTGCCGTCAGGACATGATGCCGAACACCGGGTTGTGTCGACAGATGCTGGGGCCAATCTCATCGTAGTCCTTCTTAGAGTGACACACCTGGAGGAACTCCGGCTGCAAACACAAACAAACAAACAATGTCTGTCTTTGTTACATTTTTATGAAGTGAGGACAGTTTTGACAACTACTTTGGACAATCCATTTTTTGACATATCCAGACTGTATCCAGATTTTAGAAAAAACTAAACAAAAAGCAAACGTTGAATATGATTTTGGCAAATTGGATCCAAGAACCATTTTCACTCTCAGTCTGTATGCTCCGGACGCTCCGATTTCAAAGTGTCTTTTGATACCCAAAAGGGTCCAACTGCAGCACCTCAGACCTCTTTCCTTAAACCTCCTTCTTCAGACCTCCTTCCTTAAACCTCCTTCTTCAGACCTCCTTCCTCAGACCTCCTTCTACATTACTGTGTATTAGTAAAACGTTATGCAAATATAAATGTGGTCTTTTGGACAGACGCTCTAAGAAACTGCAAGCTGGCCCTTTGGGGCTTCTTATGGCCAACTATGGTTCCACGTTAGAAAACTGCGTCACCGGCGTACTTACTGGTGCTGATGTGGTTACCACAGCAACCAGTGCTTGCAAATATAACTGTCTGTCCTAAAGATCTGATTTAAGAAACAAATCTAGTTTGCCCACAGAGTAAACAAAGCCTGAGTCTGGTCCTGGCTTCTTCAAAGGCATGTCTGATTTTCAGGTTTAGGTCAGAATCAGGTTTAGGTTAGAATCAGGTTTAGGTCAGGACCAGACCAATAATGTGGCACTGCTTGCTGCTGAGGGTCCTCTTAATTATAGAAGCACATATGTCTGATTGCTTACCGTGGACGCCAACATGGAGCCTCCGAACCAGACGGCGTAGCGCTGCATGTGATGTGTGACGACCTGAACCTCCATCGGCTTCGGCTGCAAATACAGACAATCAGTCAACTGTCTGTCTGACTATCTGACTGTCTGTCTGTCTGTCTGTCTGTCTGCCAGTCTGTCTGTCTCTCTGACCTTTATCCGTCCTCCACTTAGTTCTTCACTCAGTTTCAGTCGAGCGTCCACGACTCTCTTCAGGTCTCTCTGCAGCCGCCGCCCAAAGTCTCTGAACATGGTGGATCCTCCAGAGAGCACGATGTTCTGACACACACATACACACACACACACACACACACAAACACAGGACCATTAATAACATCATGTTTAATTAGGGAAGTAGAATAAAAACAGGCACACAAAGAGCAAACATATGTCTCCGTAGTGTGAACTCCACTTTGGGTGAGTTACCTTGTAGAGCGGTCTCCTCACATCGATTGGACAGTTCTGAATGACCTCATCAACGACATCAGAGATAGGCTGCATAAAGTCTGGGTTAGCAAACTGAAAGACACATTTATAGTTTCATATGATTTACAATCAATATTTTACACAATTTTATCTGGAAGTTTATTATTTTAGTTTTAACATTTGTCTTTGTTTTAACTGAACTGAATGTCTTTAGCTGCTCAATGCTCCACTATGTTCACCAGCTGAGACTGAACCGGACAGTAAAAGGCTCGGTGCAGGTACCTCAGGGTGGAAGAAGATCTCAGGGCCCAGGAAGCGCTCGTAGCCTACGTCGATGTGGAAGGCAGTCTTACTGACAGTGTTGACTCCACGGTACTGTTTGATCCATTTCCCCGGGTCAGAGTCGTACTTTGTGAACTCTTTGACAATGTCCGGGCAGATGTAACAGTACCGCTCCTGCACACAGAAACACACAGAAACACACATATTAAAAAGGTTTAGCAATGATATGTTATCCAGACTGAAGGATATTAAAGAAAGAGAGTGAAGTGGAGGAGGAGGAACAATGAATGAGTGAGACGAGAGCAGAAGGAGAAGGAGAAGGAGCAGAGGAGCAGTAGTACCTTTACAGCCTTGGCGGTCTCCAGCGACTGCTCTGGAGGAATCCCAACCTCTCTGTCTCTGAGCAGCTGTTGGATGAAGAAGGTGATGTCCCGCCCCGCGATGGGGATGTGCTTTATACAACTGCCAATCACGTAGCCCTCAGCCTGTGACAGACAGCCACACCGACCAATCAGTGAGCAGAGAGGCACTAAACAGCAGTGTGTTGAATGTAATGTGTCTGTGTGTGTGTCTGACCACAGGGATGGCGTGTGTGACTCCGTCTCCGCTGTCGATGACAATGCCGGTCAGAGTTCTCTGTCCCACCTGCCGAGACGTCCAGGACGCCGCCAACGCCAACACAGCCTGATGGAGGACACGTTACACCACACCACCCAGCGGTCTGTCTCTCTACCTGTCTGTGTGTCTCTACCTGTCTGTGTGTCTCTACCTATCTGACTGTGTGTGTCTCACCTGCACTGCGATGTAGAGTCCAGGTATGTTGAAGGTCTCAAACATGATCTCTGCCAGGTACTCTCTGTTCTCTGGAGTGTTGAGAGGAGGTTCAGTCTGCACACACACAGACAGACAGATTTTAACCTCACTGACCTCTGTAACTCCTCAGTGAACTCTGTAACTCCACAGTGAACAACTCCTCTGTGACCTCTGTAACTTCTCACTGACCTCTGCAACCTACCTATTCCCTTGCTCAGTCTACCCACCATGAGGAAGCTGTGGTCTTCAGGCTCAGCTCGAAGGTATTTGAAAATGATCTGCTCCATAAACTTCTCCATCAGATCCCAGTCCTCCACCATCCCATGACGGATAGGCCACTAAACACACGAGACAAAGAACACCAGCAGTCAGTGTAACATCCTCCTCCTCCTCCTCCTCTACCACCTCCTTCTCCTCCTCCCCCTTCTCCTACCTTGGTTGCATAATTGGGTTTGTCTACAGCTTCATCTCCGATGTAGAAGTCGAGGTCCTCAACTCCTCGTACGAGCCTCCTCTGAGCCTGTTCTCCCACACTGGCTGACTCCTTGATGGCAACACCTGAACCGGATCAGAAGAATGGTTTTTTTTACCCTTTAAGGTCACGTCCGTGACCTTGCGTCAGCATGAACTTAGCGACACAGAGCGAAGATTCATTAGCTACCTAGCTAACAGCATGGCTAGCTACCAGACCTCAATGATTACTGTACAAACACACAACTTTATTATCACTGTACAAAAACTCAATGCAATGATGACTCCTCCCACTCTGGTTGTTCTTGTGTCTTTTTATTTGCAGGAGACAGAGTGGCAGGGGTGTGGCTGGTAGAGTTACACCTGATTGCTCCCTGATTTCAAGGCTATATAGGGGGTTGAATCCGTTAGTTTTCTCTCTCTCTCCTTCCAGCCAGCAGGTTCTGGGTTTGTTGGTGTTTCGGGCTTGCTAAGATTTGTTTATTCTATTACTTTTTTCCACACACTCACTATACTACTGAGAACACTGATATTTTTCATATTTTGTTTTGAGTAAATCTTGGTTAAATACATTTATTTAGTCTTAAACACCTTAATTATCTATGTGGTCTCTCTTGATTTGTATGAACTTTGAACCCCAGCACTACATCGTCTTCCTGTAGGTTGCAGCAATCCCCGACCCATGACTCTCCAGTGTCAGGAGGTACTTGTGTCTCCATCTTGTCCAGAACGTGCAATCAAGGACTTGTACCTGTCTCCATTGGCTTTGGTGGATGTCCTTGTCTAAGAAATCTTGAGGTAAAAGGGAAGCACCAGCCTTTTGCGTAGGCAGTGCTGCAGGTCTCAGAATGAAGGGAGCCTCTGGATCGGTAGAGACTCGAACAAGGGGTCTGGTGTTGATGATAGGAGACGAGTGTACACAGGACTTCGAGTATTTGTTGAGCTACTCCAATCATTCGCTTCCAGGAGCCTCCCATGTGTGAAGAATGTGGGGGTTTGAACAACCCTGCTCACTCAGGTAGCTCTGGATACAGGATCTTTGTTGGTGTTTGGTCAGTCGGAGCTCCACAGAGTGCAAAGTATCACTTCAGTGTATTGATGCGGCTGGAGGTATCCACAGACTCAATTACATCAATATGCACTGCTCTAGTGCGTCTCACAGATACTTTTCAAGGGCCAAATACATCCAATCCCACATAGGTGAATTGGGAGTGCTGTGCTGAGCCATTCAGGTGGCATATCCGCAATGGTTTGCACCTCCATCTTACCACAAAGTTTCCGACAGGTGATGCACTTGCGTATGACTGAGACTTTTACATCCAATGATCCACAGGCCAGGAGATCTGACGGCCCCTTTGGTGAAATGGCGGCCTTGGTGTTTTACCTGCTTGTGGTGGTGGCCCACTTGCAGAGTTGAGACATTGTTGTGTTTAGGTAGAACTGGGGGGTCCTTCAATGACAGCACTGAGTTTGAAGAGTGGGCTTCTTTTGGGCAGGGTTCTGCCTTCAGTGAGAGCAGAGGATTACACTGGGAACTGACTAACACTATTGTGCACACACACATAGAAGTGCTTCACCTCGTCATGTATGTACCTGAGGCCTACCTACCTACAGATGTGTGACCATTTTCAATCTTATCAAGGATGAACTTGTGATGAACTTCTACTGCACTCTACTGCACCAATAGTCTTGGTAGAGGCATCAGAACACACACACAGTTGTTGTGGGTGGGATATGCAGCTGCTTCAACTCCTGATGTGAGTCTCGCCAGACTACCCATTCACTCCGTTTCTCCTCCTGTGAGTTCCAGCAGTAGAGCTCTTCCTTGTACAGTGACTGGAGAGGCTCTGCTGTATAGATGTTGCCACTCCACTCCGAATCCTTTATGCCTTGAGCATGATCCTCTAGTGGGAAAGCCTCATTAAAGCTGGGCTCTGTGTGTCAGTGGGCAGGGACATGAGCCCGTCGTCCACACAGAAGTGTTACTCTACAAACTCTTTAATAATGCTGTGTTTACTCTGTTGCAGTGGGCACTTGAGTTTGCACTGTACTAAAATTAGACAGCCAGCCAAACTCCCTCAATAAGCAACATGAAAGTCAGGATGTAGCTTTCTAGCTCCAGTTCTAATGCAGACACTTGTAGAACATGTTGATACAGCAGAGGAGCAAAACAGTAAAAGCAGACATTAGCCGACTCAGCCCCGGAGTGCCAGGAGCAAAACCCAGCATAAAAAAACACCTCAGCATTTTATTCCCTGTGGTCAAACGTCCTCCGTCTGCATCAGGTGCTGCATTCAGTCCCGGTCTGCCCATGCTGGACCGCTACAGCTGCTTGACAGGGGAGGTGACACATATTCAGCACTATTTTACCGGCCCTTTAAAGTACTTTTACAAGAGATATGACTGTTTAAAGTCTCAATCCACCCCAAGAGTATTTCTCTAGATCTGCAACTGCCTCACAGTAAAGGTATCAGATTTATTTCAATAATATTTGCTCAGAACTATCATTTCTTTATACTGTTTGGAGACGATGTTTGATACTTACAGGAGGGCATGATGAACTGTGGCTCTGTGTTTCCAGCATAGCCAATCTTTGTGTACCTGCAGTCCGAGATAAAAACAGTCCGTTAGCAAACAGCGAAGAAGAGCCGCACAATGTAAAAACATCTGTAAGTTTACGAAGTGTTTCCTCTTTTTTGTATGTTTTAATTACATGAATATATATATGAATTTACATGTTCAATGTAAAATAATGTGAAAATATTTAACTGTAAATAATCATAAAATTACTGTTTATTTAA